CCTGAAAATAAATGCAAGAAAAAATTATGACATGGTTCATAAAACACTATCTCTACCAAAGAATTTCAAAACAGCTTGTAAATTATGCACACACAGGTACACACAGGTGCAAGCATTTCTCTGCCAACCTCTAGAAACTATTTCCTTTTTTGCATAATTACTATTTCAGTTTATCTTCAAACAATAGAGAGACAGGGATTATAAATTCTTGTCTTTTGAATGAGCACATTGTGGATGAAGAAGTTAACTGATTTACAGAAGTCACAGAGTAAATGGTGAGCTGAGACTTTTTTAGTTCTGGAATTTCAGGTTTGTTTAAAGGATGAATAAATTCAAGATTTATTATGAAAAGAATACATAAATCATTAAAATGTGAAAAGAAGATATACAAGAATGGTTTTTAAAAACACAAGTAGAATTACCAATGGTAATAATTTTATTGAAAATGTAGTCAGCTCGCCTGTTCCAGGATCCTGCAGGATGTGCGCCTGCCTGTTCCTGGACCCCGTGAAATGTGTGGTGTCCCCGCACATGCGAGGGTGTCCCTCAGATCTGGATCCATGCAGCAGAGGCACCTGAGGCCAGAGAGCCATTGCTATGAGCTCAGGAAGATGGCCCAGTGGTGAGCAGCAGAGAGAGGGCCTTTCAGAGGCTTGTTGTTGTTGAAAATAGAAGCCAACTGGAAGAGCAAAGACAGAGGAGACTACAGCAATTGATGAGTTGCTGGGACCAGCACCTCCTCCCGAATCTGGACCTGCGATGGGGAAGGGCGGCTCAAACCTGCAGTAGAACCTTGAAGTGTTCTAACCTGCAGGAGGTCAGGGAGCTCAATTTTGTCCTCTCAGCCAGAAACCAGCCCGAATCTCAAGGGACTACAGCTGGTTCCCTGAGATTAATCAACTCGGCTCTGCATGCTGCTGCCCATGTTGTAATCCAGCAATAGCAGTGATGGATTCTTTCTTTCTTTCTTTCTTTCTTTCTTTCTTTCTTTCTTTCTTTCTTTCTTTCTCTTTCTTTCTTTCTTCTTTCTTTTCTTTCTCTTTTTCTTTCTTTTCTCGCTTTCTTTTTGCTTTCTTCTCTTTTCTTCTTCATTTCTCTTCTTTCTTGTTCCTGTTTTGTCCTATTCTGTTTCTTTCTTGATTGTTCTTATTATTAAAAGAGTGTGATACAGTTTCTAGTTTCCTGTTGCTGTTAGTTTGTTCTGTTCTTCTGTTCCATTTTCTCTCTTTTCCTCGTGTCTTCATCAGTTTCTCAAAGTTTGCATGATCCTCCTGTGTCCTTTAACCCTACTTCTAACCCCTCCTATCTATCTATCACCTCCCCAACATCTTCTAAGTCTTCTTCCCAGAGGGTAAAGCCACTATATTGAAGGGCTTACTAACTGGAAACATATTTCTGGTTGGTCCTTGATTTTGATAAATAACCACAAGTCTAGTTTATGCAGTTAAATGTGTCAGAATAATAGTTACCATAATTTGTCATTTTCTAAGCTGTGTTTGATGCTTTTGTTCTTGCTGATTGTATTACTTTGGCCAAGGTGACGTGATTGTTCTAGTCAGTTGTCTTTACTGGGATACCAAGACTGAGATTGCTAAAAGAGCATTACAGACTCAAAACCCAAAGGCCAACTATACCAGGAAGACAATCCAAGAAGTAGCCATTCCCTAAGGGTTCTAAACACTAGCAATAAAGATACTTATAATAAGCAATTTACAAGCAGTGAGTTAAACCAAAAACTTCAACAATAACAAAAAAATAGAAAAGAGAAGACACCTAAACAAGATGCAAACACAGACTTCCAGATACCAAAGGCAACTTCAAGGGGGAACAAGATGGAACAATCAGAAACTCAACCACCTGGACTCCCTGAACTGGCAATGAAAGAGGATATGGAAAAAATAAAATCAGAAATAATTTCTCAGATAACAACAGAAATTGTATCCATAGTGAAAGACATGATTAATAACTCTAGAGTAGACACAAATAAAAAAAATACAGGAGCTAAGGAACATGATGGAATCCCAGCATAGGAAAGAAATGGAATCTATAAAACAGATTCAAACAGATATCTAGGATATCTATTGAAAGTTTATGCAGCAGAATGAGCCAATGTGAAGACAGAATATCAGATACAGAAGGCAGGATTGCAGTTAGTGAACAGAAAAAGAAAGATTTTTTAAAAATAGCAAGGGAACACAAGAAAGCAATCCAGCACCTGCTAGATGATGCAAAGAAGAATGACATAAGACTGATTAGAGTCAATGAAGAAACAGAAGATAATGCAATTGACATTAAAAAAAACTTTTCACAGAAGTAATGGCAGAAAACTTCACAAGCAGGGGAAGGGAATTTGACCTACAGATAGGTGAGGCATATAGGACTTCAATTAGCCATGATAAAAGAAAAAATCTACACCTAGGCATATAATAGTTAAGATTCCAGAAACCCAACAGAAGAACAAAATACTACAAGCAGTTAGAGAAAAGAAAAAAATCACATACAAAAGAAAGCCCATCAGAATCACAGCAGACTTCTCAATACAAACCCTCAAGACAAGAAGAGCCTGGAGTGCAGCCATTCTTTCTGGAGTAAGATGGAATCTCAGCATTGTTTTCATTTGCATCTCTCGGCTGTTCAGATCTGTTGAACATTTTTTCATATGTTTATTTGCTGTTTCTAATTTTTTGTCTGAGAAATGCCTGTTCATTTCAGATGCCCATTTTTGGATTGGGTCTTTAAATTTGGGAGTTCTGATTTTTTTAATGTTCTTTATATATTCTAGATAGTAGACCTTTGTCTGAGGAAGAACTGGTAAATTATTTTTCCCACATTGTAGGTTGTCTCTTAGCTCTGCTGGTGGTTTCTCTTGTGGTGCAAAAGTTTTTAATAGGATGAAATTCTAGTTGTTGATTCTTCATGCTAATTCACACAGAGAAAAAATAAGAACTAAGATATATCATGTAAAGGTACAAATTCCCAATGATGAATGTCATCATATTGTATACCTAACATGTACCAATACACATAATTAAAAAAAAAAGAAGAGCCTGGAGTGAAGTACTTCAAGGCCTAAAAGAAAGCAACCTCCAACCCAGATTGATGTACCCTGCAAAACAATCTTTCAAAATTGATGGAGAAATAAGATACTTTCACAAAAAAGTACACCTGAGGAAATTCATGAATTCAAAACCAGCACTCCAAAAAATTTTAGACAATATCCTGGGAAAAGATAATGTGGGCCATGGCCCCATGAAGCCCAAAAGAATGAATCCATCAGGCAAGACAAGAAATTGCAAAGGGGGCAGGGTCCAACAAAAGGAAAAGATCATGACAAGGATAAGTCAATACATATCAGTTATAACCATCAATGTTAAAGGTCTCACTTCACCAATCAAAAGAAATAGACTGGCAGAATGGATCAAGATGCAAGATCTAACAATGTGTTGCATACAAAAAACACACTTAATTCAAAATGAAATTCATAGACTGAAAGTTAAAGTGTGGAAAACAATACTTCACACAACAGGAACCCCAAAAAAGCAGGAGTACCTTTCATATTTGCAGACAAAATAGATTTCTAATCTAGACTAATTAAGAGAGACAAAGAAGGTCACTACATCCTTGTAAAGGGAACAATCCAAGAGGAAGAGATGACCATCATAAATACATATGCACCAAATACTAGTGCACCCAACTATAAAACAAATATTAACAGTGCTCGCTTCGGCAACACATATACTAAAATTGGAATGATAGAGAAAAGATTAGCATGGCCCCTGCACAAGGATGACGTGCAAATTCAGGAAGCATTCCATATTTTTTTATTAAAAAAACCCCAAATATTAACAGGCATGAAAAATCAAATAAGCACTAATACAACAGTAGTGGTGGAACCTCAATACCCCACTGTCACAAATAGAAGGATCAACTAGACAAAAAATCAACAACAAAATACTAGAACTCAACCAAAGTCGTGAACAAATGGATTTAACGGATGTTTACAGAGTGTTCTACCCCACAAAATCAGAGTGCACATTCTTTTCAGCTGCACAGGGGTCTTTCTTCAAAATAGACCACATACTTGCTCATAGAACATGTTTAAGTAAATGCAAAGGAACTGAAGTTATCCCCTGCATATTATCAGATCATAGTGCAGTGAAATTGGAGATCAATAGCAAAAGAAACTACAAGAACTTCATAAAGACATGGAAATTGAACAATACCCTCCTGAACAACCAGAAGAAATTAAAGAAGAAATTAGACAGTTTCTACAATTAAATGACAATGCCAATACAACTTATCGGAATTTATGGGACACAATGAAAGCAGTCTTATGAAGGAAGTTCATAGCAGGGAATACCCATATTAGGAAAACAAAACAAGCTCAAACAAACAACCTAATGCTGAACATCAAGCTTCTAGAGAAAGAAGAGCCTTGTTGGGTATCTTCCCAAAAGAATTAAAAGCATCATACCACAGCAATATATGCACACCCATGTTCATAGCAGCACAGTTTGCTAATAGCTAAATCTTGGAAATAGCCCAAATGCCCATCAACAGGTGACTGGATAAAGAAGATGTGTTTTTTTAAATATAAAATGGAGTTCTCCTCAGCCATAAGGAATGATAAACTAAAGCCATTTATAGCTAAATGGATGCACATTGAGGCCATCCTCTTAAGTGAAATAAATACGAACCCCATGTGTAAATACTGAATAGTTTCTCTGGTGTGAGAAACTGAAAGTGTAAATGAGGACCAAAATGTATAATAGATTATGTCAAATAAGAAGAGGTCCAAAGGGAAGGGGAAGTTGAAGTGGGGGGAGGGAGTAGGGTAAAGGAAAGAAAGGAAAGGATAAAATATGGGAAAAGAAAATAACAGAAACAAAGTCTTTGTAAATAGGGAGGGGTGGAGGGTTTGAAGGGAGGGAAGGGGAATGGGGAAAAAATAAGAACCAAGATATATCATGTATATGTATAAATTCCCAGTGATAATGTCATCATAGTGTATACCTAAAATGTACCAATATACTGAATGAATAATAAAAAAAGAAAATACAGTTAGCTACTTTTCCAAACTTCAGAATAATCTTCTCATCTATCAATATTATTATTGTATATTAATTTGGAATGCTATGGGGAGCTACTTTAAGAGTCAGACTTTAATCCTCTCCCTTTCATTTACAATGTTCCATGGCATTGGACAAATAACTTTTTTCATGATAAAATGAGAACTTCAAACCAGAATGCATGTAAATGTATCTTCAATTTTACATTTTGGACATTTATTTTAAATTCGTTAACAATAGAAATTAACAAAACTCTTGTAGCTCATCCTAGGGAAAAAAGTGAGATTGTTGTAGCAGAAGTGATGGTTCTCATGGCAAACGAGCCCAAGTCAAATCTGAAAATAAAAAGAAACCTCACAAACTTAAGTAATAGAAATATTGGCATTATGTTTATTATATCATAGGCTGTATTTCAAATATGGAGTATAAATAACTATATGATTTATAAGTTTATTCACTACAATAAATATTATTAATTACCATAAAAATAACTCATTCATTTGATACAATCCTGAAGGAATGAAATTTATCAAATTTGACCATAAAATGAAAATATAGATGAAACATCTTCAGGAAATGCAGTCAGGTTATTCAGCAATGTTTATATTTAGATTTATGTTTAAGTGTTCCATACATTTTTTGATTATGTACTCCCAGAACCAAAGAATTGTTGAGTAAGAACTCCTATGTGTACCATATATATGTATATACTATCTCTATATTATATCTATCTAGCTATCTAGCTATCATCTTGTGCTACGGATAGAGCCTAAGGCCCTGAACATCCTAGGCAAAGGCTCTTCCACTGAGTTATACTCCCAGCCCCCAATATACATATTTATATTTATGAGTTATATGCATGTATTATGGTATGATGAAAAGATCTTAAATTCTTAGATAAATGCTATAAATAATAACTTTAGTTCTTATACTTTTTAAGTTTATAGTAATATTTAAAACATGAGATCAGAAATAACATGCAGTCCTAGTTGCTTTTTGCTTGCTAATGTGTTGTCTTGTACAGTTCCCCATCCCCTTTTGGGCAGCACTGTATTTAAATACTGTGCTTATTGGGGCAAAGTCACTTGGTTGGACTCTGTCACAGCTACATGCTGCATCTTCCATCTCAGTGCTTTGCACCCACAAGTCAGAGTGATGCATGCTGAGAAAGCCAAGTAGAGACTGTGGCTTCAGGTCTAGGCTCTGCCCGTGGTTGGGGAGGAACATAATTTCCAGTTACAAAAGAAATGCACAGCACTATAAAAAATGTCTGATCGTTTCAGAGGGAGACTATTACACAGCCTAGTGGGATCTTTAAAGAAACACATTTTTTTTTTTTAAGTAGAGGGTTGTTGTTGTTGTCATTTTGGTACTAGGGATTACAGCCTGGTCCTTCACACTGAGCTACATCTCCTGTCCTTTTTAATTTTTAATTTTGAGACAGAGTCTCACTAAATCACTAAGTTGCCCCAGCTGGGATCAACTTGCAAACTTCCTGCTTCAGCCTCCCAGACTGCTGGGATCACAAGTGTATGCTAGCATGTGTGGTTAAAAGAGTAATTTCTAACTGTTTGGTCTTGTGGATGTCTGTGCTTTCAAGAACTAGTATAGGCGTGGGAATGTGCTTTTGGCTTACACAAATCTGTCTGCGAGGACTCTGACTCTTCTCTCAGAAATGCGAGAGAAGAAGCAACTAGAGAAGAATGACATCAGAGATGCTAACACAAATTAAGATAAAGTAAATCACACAGCTCTCTGATTCAGGGTATTTTCTGTAGATGTCACAAGTGGGTTGGGCAGAAAGCTGGCTGAGTGCCTCAGTAAGAGTTGTGTACGCAAAAGAGAAAACAATGTCATCACGTACCTTCCAATGAAATCTAGTCATCATTGGTTCTTTCTGAGAGATATTTTAGGTCTAGGAACATACTGGAGTGGGTTCTAGTTCTCACACAAGTCGAAACACTGAAAAAACTCAGGACAAATCCAGTTTTGGAGGAGGACTTCCAAAACATAGTTTCTTTCAACTGCTTCACTAGGTCACTTCTGAAGAAAATGAGATAAAGATTAGGTTAAACTCAAAATTCCTGAGGTTCTCCCCCTCCAACAAAACCACATTAACAAAAAAGGCCAAATATGTTTGTTGCACTCAGTGAGGCTTCCCTGGGTTTTTCTGGGCTGTGGGGATTGAGGCTGATGACCAGATTTAACTCAGCTGGTACTTACTCCTAGCGATGCTTTGCCTGGGCTGAATGAGAGGAGTTTGTCCTTATTTTCTTATTTTCATTCATCTCTTTTATACCTGGACAGGATAATTTAGACAAGTGAGTTTTAAAGCCAAAAGATTTCATTGAACAGTTTGTGTAAAAATGCTATCATTTATATATGCTTTGAGGAACACTTGATTACACTTAGTTTTAGCTAACAGATATTGCATAGAAAAACATATAAGGCTTAATCAAATACCAACTTTTTAAGGAGATTGGTCCCATTTTCTCTTATAAAATTCCAAGCTAACTACTGGCCCTTTGTTTTTGTTTTTTGGTGCTGGGGATGGAACTCGGGTCCTTCTGCTTGCAAGGCAGGTGGCAGAACCACTGAGCTAAATCCCCGGCCCTGACCCTTTGGATTTTTGGTAATTTCCTAAAGGAGAGCTGCCAAGTCCTTTGTCTTTTTTTTTTTTTTGGTACGGGGGATCGAACTCGGGTGCTTGCGCTTGCGCAGCAGGCGGCGAAACCACTGAGCTAAATCCCCGGCCCAACCAAGTCCTTTGTTTTAATAACCTTTCCTTCCATTCCTAGTTCGATTAACCTAGAGAAATAAAAACCATTTGATTTTTCATAGTCGACAGTAAATAATGTATGGAAATTAACAGGCTACCAATATATTGAAAGAATAGGAGAAAAAGTAGCATGATAAAATACAATTTACCCAAAACAATAATGAATTGTCTACTGGCTGATATTTTTAATGTTCCAGTTAAACTTTTATTTTTATGGCAGTAATTTTATATAATAATTATTTCAAAGACTTTGGTTAGCATCTTATTCAAGAGTGTATTTGCACAATGATTTTCCTTCAAGGTTCTGAAACTAAAATACGCCATTTGTCTAGTGTCACTCACATGACCAATAAACAGGTACTAACTTTCACTATTCATTTTGTTAACATACGTTCTTTGAAAAGTAAAATTAAAGCCGTATAAATTCTGATTCAATGATTTTATACCTTCAAAATTGGTGGCTGACATTTTAATCTTTTCACTGAATTTGTGTCAATTTACTTTTTTTTTTGGTACTGGGGATCAAACTCGAAACCTTGTGCTTGCGAGGCAGGCTGTGGAACCACTGAGCTAGATCCCCGGCCCCATTTTACTTTTGATAATTTAGTTAAATTAATGAACTTACTGTAACAACTTCTCCTGATCCATGCTTGCTGACAATGCATACAGAGACTTGCTTTTTTGGGTTTTTTTTTTTTTTTTGCTACAGGGGATCAAACTAAGGAGCTTGCGCTTGCGAGGCAGGCTCGGTGCCACTGAGCTAAATCCCCAGCCTGATGAGTCTTGTTGTTTTAAGCACCCAATACTGACAGTACATATGGCTGTAAAAGGTAATTCCATCCGCTATTGTCTGAATATCCACAGAACATACAATTTTTAAAACATCTGTCAGTTTGTTGTAATACTAAGCACAGAAATGAAGAAGTTTTATGAAAGAATAATTCATTCCTTTATTACAATTTTAATTTACCATAATAATTCATCCCTGAATTAGAGTATTAGACCTTTAAATTAAATTAAAGTATTAGACCTTTTTCTCTGCCAAACTGTTACAAAATATTTTATGTAATTTGACTTGCAAATGATTTATGTTTTTATCTCCTACTGATGATAAAATGCTAGCAAGCAGAATAAGCATAAAATTTTAATCTACACTGAGATGAAAATAGAAAGTTGATGGGTCAATTAATAAAAAATGATTTCTGACTTATAAAAGAAGTGGTTCATCTATATATGTGATGTGAGTTTTTAAAATGATGATTACTTTGTACCTTAACATCATATTTAAAATATTTTCTGAGATTTGAGGTCATCTTATTTTCTAGGTTTAGAGAATTGTAATTTACATTTTACAATTCTTCAAAATTCATAAGATGAAATATTTTCTGTTATCCGAAAGAAGACCCCATGATTTGGGTTTTTATTACCTCATGAGACATTAATCAGTTTTTATTTTAAATTGGTGTATGATTTTTAATCCCCAATATAGATATATAAGCAATAATTGATACTATACTGATGGCTTAGAAAAATCACAAGATGATAGGCCAGTGGGGAGGGGACAGGAAAATTGTATTTATCATGAAGTGACCTCAGAGAAGGGATTTTACTGTTCTCTATACATCTTATTCAACTGTTAAACTACTGGTGATAGAGCTATTATCCTGAATTTTAAAAAATGGAAATAAGTCTCAGAAAACCTAAGAAATCTGTATAATGTAAAATAACTAGTCATTTTGGAGATAGGATGTAAGCCTAGATTCCAATGCTTGTTCCGTTTCTATTATACTATGTGTACTTTTAAAAAGTACACATAGTATAATAGAACCAGCCATTCGAATAATAAAATGACTAATTAAATTATAACCCATATAGTTTAGATTTTAGTATATTTTACTGTGCAAATTTTGATAACTGGTATCAGATACATGGTAAGTTCCTTGAAGGTAGGCCACTTGATAATTTTGTTCACTACTCTAACTCCCAGGGCACTGCCAATTTAGCACCCAGGAGTTATGCAAGTAATTATATTTTGAATTCACAAATGAATGGAAAAAATACATGAAAATTCTTCATTAGGATTCATACTAGCAGTCTTAAGAGTTTTGGGGGAAAACCAAACACTCATGTCTTCTGCAGACAGATAACTACTGACTAAGATCACTCCTCTGATAAATAGCATAAAGATGAAATAAAAATATTCTATTATATAATTTTCACATTTTTTAACTCACTCTTACATCCTACTTAAATAGAGACAAAACAAGAAAGTAATAAACCTAAAAGATATATTTTCTAAAACTGATTTCGGGCTTAAATCCCAACAAGTAAAAAAATCTAAGAAGAGGAAAATACGAATTACTTTTCTTAAAATAATCCAAGAAAGGATTTAAAAGACTCATTGAGAGTTATGGTAAGATAAAGTACAACATCAGACCATAACATTTTGGGACAGGAAAAACTAACACCATTACATTCCATGGCAACAAAATTGTGAATTAATTTTTCTGTTAAAAGAACAAATTTTCCTTAATTTGCACACTAATTTTCCAAAACATCTAACTCTAGAGTTAGATTTTTAAAAATAATATGAATCTTGTGTTGGATGGAAATCAAAGCTTACACTGAAATGTTTGTGGAATCTGATAGTATCCATGGGTTGCAGGAGCTAAAAATAAATTGCAGCATAATCTACTTGTTCACTGGGCATCTTTCTGATTAGAGTCAGCTCCAGAATCAGGTTTGCCACCATATCTATCCTTCAGGTGATCAAAATCATGTTTCTTATCAGAGATAAAATTCAGGGGCAAGGCATAGCACTTAGTATTGTCTGGTGTGGAAACAAACACATTTCTTAAAAAGCATCCCTTCTTTTCTATGAGTTCCACCAAAAGATGTCTGATGTTTTAATTGCGTATATAGTTCACTTTTTTTATTTCTGACATCTTTTCATGTTTAAAAGGCATCGCTTTTGGAAACCTGGCCCCTGTGCTTCTGTTTCCTGGCAACCTTTCTGTTATCACACCGATGTTTATTACGTCTCTTACAGGGACCAAAACCTTGCTTCCGCAAAATCTGTTGAGCACTTTCTAGGTGGCAACATGAAACAGAGTTCATAATTCCCATCTCATTTTTTTTTCCTTTCTATCATTACTAAGAGGTTTTAGATCTGATGTCTTGCTTGATCAAAGACTTTTACATCAAAGTGAAAGGAACAAAGAGTAGGACACAAGTTTAGTTCTACTTTAATTTTTCACTGGCTTCCATCCACTGAGAGCAGTTCAGCAGCCTTCTGAATGCCAGGAGCTCGGCTCAGGTCACACAGGCAGCTTCAAGACATCTGAGTGAAGTGTCCTGTCCCAGACTGAGCTCTTGTCACTCCAGCTTTGTGTGTCAGTCACTGGCTTAAAATATCGGAGAAGGTAATTCCACAGAAAACATAAGATGGTTTACAGAGAAACTATATTTAGTTCTTAACACAGCTCTTAGCCATCTAAAAGGCTCAACTCTGAACTTTCTGCAGGAATCTTTCTGCAGGAAACACAAAACTACTTATCTTTGCATTTCATGTATCTTTATCTGGCTCCCACCCACAACACTTAACAGAGTTTCTGCGTTCAAAACTTTTACGTTCCTATCTGAAAGGGTTCTATGGATTGATGATATAAGATAAAATCACTGTTAGTGGAAACCACTCTGCTTATATTAGGATTGGCTATGGCAAAGAAAGAGGGACATGGGTCATAAGGACTCTGTGTGGGCTGGGCTATGAGCCAGTGTCCTCTGCTTCTTCATCTCTAACTCCAAAGAGTTCACACAAAACACACTGACCCTTACTGATCCTCCAGATATTGTGTATTGACGTAAAACATTTTCTGAAAGTGAAACAAACCTTGAGATTTTCAATGACATCTGAAATATTCCTTCTGTCCATCATGTGGTAAAATAATTCTAAGCATCTCTGGCCTTTGAGAAGTACAGGGCTGCTTGTTTCATACTGGAGATAGTGAATCAGGTCGAGGGCTTTGTCCAGTGCCAACTGCCCTGCACTGAGGTCTAAAACAGATGCCGGGGGCTTGTGCATATCTTAGAGTTCATTATATTCTTGATATTAAAGCAAATACAAAATAGAGAAATAACAGAAGTAGTCATCATAACCAGATCATTTGATTTAAATCCTAGCTCTACTATTGACCAGCTGTGTGACCTTAGACAAATTACCTAGCCTCTTTGGGCCTCAGTTACCATGACTGTACAATGAGAATCAACAGTAGTATCTTTCTCATAGCTCATTGTGAGGATTACATGAATTAATATGAAAGTACTTAGAAAAAAACAACTAACAGTAAAAACTAAATAAGTGAAATAAATATTAGAAAATATTAATGTTCAGTACCAAATACTATCAAAAGTTTTACATAGTATGTCATTCTGTAATTGCTTCATTTGTGAGTTTGACTTGTTGCTCTAATAAAATTTTGGAACTTTGTAGATAGGCACTATGTCTTTTTCTTTTTTGATATTTTAAATCTGCATAAACCCTCATTTTGTGGTCAAGAGACTGAAAACTCCACCCTTAGATCATGCTATTGGCTGCCACTTTCTGAACATGTGTCCCATGAAGGGCCATGAAGATTGATTGTGTATGTACACATGGTTGATTGCTTCCAATCACCATTCCTCATGCTTCACCCTGCCTAGCTTTTTTATCCCATCAGTATCCAAACTCTGTCCTCTGGGAGACAGATTTGAGACATGAGCCTCCCACCTCCATTCTTGGGTACCTCGTGTATAAACTCTTTCTCTATTGCAAAACTCGTTTCGGTAATTTGCAGTGGGCAAAGCAGACTTTGTTCAGTTAATGCTCAGTCCTACCCCAAAAAAGTCGTAATCATTCTAAGACAAAACAAATGTTTTCATCTTACTTCAGTTCTAAAGTTACATGCTTTCTTTACATTTTCTTTTAATGAGAACAAAAAACAGAACCATCATTTTGAGTACCAAAATGTAGCAGTATCTTCCGTAGAAGAAATAAACTGTTATATCCTCCCTCTTGTAAAGTGGTTCTCACTCATGTCTCTGGGAGGATTTGGTTCACATAATGTGAATAAGCCACTGTTGTGAGCATCCAATTCCCAAACTACGCACAGCTCTGTGATAGGGAAACACGTTTCAAAATGAAGGATATGGCTGTTAGAGTTTTCATTAACATAAGGGCCTGTCTCCTTTGGGTTTTAAAATTCTTATCTAAAAAGAAGGAACTGAAGCTAGAAAGAAGTAAAAAGAAAAAGAACCAACTTCTGTTGTGCCTTTTCTTCTCAATCATGATGGCACACTAATTTAAAACAAGCTTACAGAAAGTTTTCCAAAATTTTCATCTGAAGACAGAGGGCTGGGCCATATGTTCTATGATTCTGTTATCTGCTGTATTTTTTTTTAAATGTATTCACAAAATGTCACTACACTTTCCCATGTGTGTGCGTATCATAAGCTTAGCATCAGCATACAGCTTAGCATCAGCAAGAAGAGGAAGTGATATCATAAGGTCACAATTTAATATTTGGCACGTTAACAACTAATTTATATAGTGATGATTTTTTTCAGCCTGGTTTGAGTTCTGACTAAACTCAGTGCCATTATTAGAAATCTCCACTTTCATATTTGCCTACCTTTAAAAGTTTTAATATTAGTACTTCCCTATAAGAGACTCATTTTCTCTTTACATAATTACTAAACTGGTTAATTAAAATCTAGGTCCTTACCACCTGCCCTATGCTTCAATCAATGCAGTTTGTTTACCTTAAAGAATAAATATGTACATAAACATACACTTAAGCCTAACAGGAAAAATCTACATTTATTTATTTTTATATACTTTCAGCTAGACCTTACCTTTGTGAAATAAAACCATATTCCTGAAGATCCTATTTGGGGTTTCTTTTTAAGGTGGGGGACTAAAAGAAACAAACACAACTTTTTTGTTGTTGTAATGAAACTAAAATTACCATTTTAATTTCACTCAATTCAGGCAAGACCCATTAAAAAAAGACCAACAATCTAATTCAGATAAATATCCCTTCCTGGGTCAAATTTTATCTCCAATTAAATAAGACTGCGAATTACTTCCTTTAACTCTTGAATTGATATTTTTAGAAAGCAAAGAGAGATGAGGTCTATAATACTGGGAGTGAATAATAGCAAGTAAAATATGTAAGATTTATTATAAGAGTTTTAAATGATTTTCTTATGCATTATAGTCAACCCTTCATATCTAAATTCAACCAACTGTGGCTTGAAAATATTCAGAGAAATATTGTGTCTATACTGAATGTATACAGACTTTTTTCCTTTTGACAATCGGTGTAACAATTTTATAGAACTTTTTACATTGCATTAGGTATTATGAGGAATCTAGGGATGAATTAAAGTACACAGGAGAATATGTGTAAGTTATATATAAATATTACAGCATTTACATAAGAGATTTTGGCATCTGCAAATTTTAAAGATTTGTGGAGAGGCATCCACAATGCAGGATAACTGTACTTTTATTATAAAAGTAATATTTTAAAAATCTCAATATAAGTAAAAATTAGAGAAGGGAAAATGATCCATTGTTTCACTACCTTATACATTCATCAGTAGCATTTTGAAATAATTCCTTTGCATTTTTGTTCCCCTCATCCACTTGTATTTTTTCTATGTAGTTGAAAGCACAGTAACACACAAACTTATATTCTGCCTTTTCCAACCTCACATTATTTGAAATGTATTTTTCTATGTTGTCACATCCTCTTTCTATTCAACACATGATTTTTAAACAATTGATATCAGATATTACTAAGAAGGCTAACATTTCTTGTACAGGTACTGTCTTATCTAACGCAATACTCAAAATGACCAAATGTAAGTGCCTGTATGTTAGGCATCCTTAGTACAAAACTTTAAAGACTTCAGACTTTAATTTAATTTGGGGCTAAAACAGATTTAAAAACTGGCCAAGTTCAGACAAATAATAAGTGAAAAGGTAGTACTTATAGTTTTCTGTTTTAATCCAAAATGTAGTCTTCATTAATCTGTCTACCTAGTGAAGAAAAGATTATTGTCTTTCCACTGATAAATCAATAACTACAAGGTTCTTTCTAATTTAAGACTACCCATAAATTTATAGGCTAGATACAGCACAAAGCACTTTCTCATTACTTCAAAGAATGAAATTCATGTGTTGAGGTGTCAATAATTTTTATTTTTCCAATCTTAAAATTTTAGGGCCAGGGATTTAGCTCAGCAGTGCTGCCACCTGCCTCACAAGTGGAAGGTCCTGAGTTTGATCGTGGTACAAAGAAAAAGAAAATTAATCTATTTTCTCTGCAATCTGCTCAGAGCTTCTCTGAGCAGACAAAGCTCCTTCAACTAGCAAAAGGCTTCTTGTGAGCCAGCTCTCAGGCATCTGCTCTTTGCAAGGTAGCATCTTTCCTAATGTGGGCCTCCACTGTGTGCTACCACCAGGTCTCCCTGAGACAGGGGCACAGGGTTAAGTCTCACTCCCCTCTGCTTTCTAGCTGAGGAATTCTATTGTACTGAGAAGCTTTACCTGAGATGCCCTGCTGTTTATTTTCACTTAATTTGACCTACATAAGCATCTGAAAGGAAATAAAATGTCACACTGAATAAAGTGAATATGTTACAGTAAATTTCAGAATAGGAACAGTTTATATGTATAGCACTCCCCGATCTTCAATTTCCCCCCCATTGGCAATCTGGTACTCTAATTAATTCTACATATTATTCTATTAATGATAAATTGAAAAGAAATGAAAACACTGTCTTTTCAGGAATGTTAGTTCTTACTTCATTTCCCTACCAATCTCATTCTGATTTTTAGATTGTAAGTAATGAAAGTATCTTGCCCTAGGATACTAACTCATTTAAAATTGTAAAAATTAATACTGTATTTATACTTTTTATTTAAGAGACTACACAGTATTTGGTGCAATAGCTACTAGCATAAACAAATTTTAAATTTGAGGTCAAAATTTCAAATGACTACAAGGTTCACCCTAAGTGAAACAGACTGCTGTGCCAACTGAGACTTTGGTGCATAGGAGACCACAGGCCTGGCCCATAGGGGGATCAGCCCACTCCACATTTCTCTGTGATAATCCTGAGGGAAATAAGGCCCCGAGTTCCAATCTCATTTTTAAAAGAAAAATGATTTTTTCTGATGTTATGATTTTTATATAAATTTCCCCATATTTAAAAGTGTTATATTAAATTTATAAACACCACGTTGCTCAAAATACCTTATATTAGTGGTGGCTAATATGAAAGTGGCTTTGGCCTAGTGGCCAGTGTTTGATTTCTACTGGGATCTACATCATAGGAATGATCAACATTGAACATTTGATCCTTAAATCTTGCATATCTAGTTATGGAACAGTTATTTTCTGTGAAATCAGATGAAAGACATCATGCCTCAGACCTATTGTGTCCTTCAGTCTGAGAAGTGTGTGGTTATGATTCACCTGTGAATCAGTTGGTTCCATCCATGACCCTTTATAGTGAATAGGGTATTAGCCATTTGAGTCCACATTGAATTTCACTCAGTTGGTCTTTTTTCATAAATTCAGAGTATCTGAAAGAAGGAAATAGACATAGGCATTCTATTATTAACATACATATCAGTAACATCTCCAAAACTGTTAGTTTCAAAACTATCAATTAATCAATGGGAAGACAAAGTTTTGGAAGAGACATAATGATACTCATTTTGATAGTTCATTAAATGGTTTCTTTTGGGGAAGATGGTTCTTATGGCTTGTATCTAGATGTTCCCCCAAAGCCTCATGCATTCATAGGTGGAGATTTTCCGAGGTGATTGGATCTAGGGTGTGTGCATGTGAATTAAGGGTGTGCGAATATAGATTAAGGGTGCAATAACTGGATTAGTCCACTGATTGGTTTAGTGTTGTTCCAGGTGTGGATAATGGGAAGACCCACCTTGGGTGTGGGTAGTACCAATCAATAGGCTCATAGCCCAGATAGTACATAAGGGGAATAGAAGGAAGGCTTGCTGCTTTTTACCTGCCTGCCATGGACTGTTTCTCCTCTGTGATGACCCTCTGACCTGCCACTCTCCCTTGGAGCTAGCTGGACTGAAATATTTACAAACTGTAAGCCAAAATAAACCTTTTCTCCTTTAATTTTGGGTGTTGGGTATTTTGTCTCAGCAACAAGAAAAATAATAAAGACGTGGTTTTATTAAATAATAAATTAATTTATATGAATAAGACTACGGAATTTGTTCTCAAAAATAGTCTATGTTGGTCTATGAGACATGCAAGGGCTTAGTGAGTCAAATGATGATCATAACTCAAATTTGATTTAATATATTGGTTTAGGTACTGGTCATCAAGATATATATATAAACATAAATATGTGATTCATTTGTCTAGTTTTTTTTATAGTGAAATAAGGACCTGGGTTAGCCATGACATTATCGTGGAAACCTCTCAAATTCTAATATTGAGAGATGAAGTTCAAATTACAGCATATATATTTAATGTGACATACATCATATTAGGTAGTAAAATTGCATTATAATAGCCTTTCAACAACTTGATGAGGCCTAGTTCTCAAACTAAGATGAGAAAATTGAAGTTTGGGAAGAGTTAAGAAAGTTTCTGAAGGTCACACATCTAATAGGTGACAAAGTGAGGATTTGAATTCAGAAACAATCAATTCCAAAGTGTATGCCTTTTCCACACTAAACATTTTTGCTTCATGCATAATCCATAAAAATAGTGGTTATTAAAGTTTATAAGATAGAATTCCACCATTTCTTGACATAAATACAAACATCGCTAAATGTTTCATTGAGAGCCTCCCCATGAATGAAAAATTCAGACTGTTTATCAAAGGGCTATTTTTTTTCAACAGGCATTTTTTATTAACTTTGACAAATTTATGGAATAAAACATTCTACCTAACTGTAATTGTGTCCCTGTATACATAAGTCTACGATATCACTTAAATTCTCATCTGGGGAACACGTTCAGAGGATTTTAGGAATAATAAAATTGTCACCAATGAAACTGGTCTATATAGCTATATCAAAAGAAATAGCACTTTTAACTAAATCTGAGGTTAGAATATTTTACTTGCTTTAAATAACAGTTCAAACATAACAGATTAAGATATGTTCAGGAGAAAGCAGCCTCAAGAAGGAAACATTAAAATGATATAATAAAAATTACGGTGAATCAAATTAATTATCAACCTTTTTCTACAAATAATAAACAAAACTCCATGTCTCTAAATAAATCAGGGGTTCTTTTTTTTTTTTTTTTCCTGGTACCAGGGGTTGAACTCAGGACCTTGAGCTTTTCAGGTAAGCACAGTGCCACTGAGCTAAATCCCAGCCCCTTAACCAGGATTTCTGCAGTAAGAAAAAACTCTAAAAATCTTAAACACATCTCTGTCAGTTTTAGAGACTTATATACTCTTTTTAGAGTCAAATTTCTTGCCACATTATTTCAATATCAACAAAGTGTAGTTAGCAAAGGGGTATTTTAATAAGTAATATATTTCTTTTGTTATTAGATTTAATTATAGTATCTTCCCTTCGAATAGTTCAAAACATATTTAATTTCACCAGTGAATCATTTTTTTAGCTAATTCACTACCTGTCTTTGACTTTAGAATGTGTCTGTGGATTGCATCTAAGGGTGGAGTAGGTCCGTGGGGTATGCCACATGAACCTATGTTATAAAGCAAAGAAGGTCACAAAGTAAGTGAATAAGTGTTTTAGATTTTACATTATCAGGTTTCACAGGCTATAAATGGCACCTGAGCAGCCGCCCTTCACATGGTCAGTGTCTTACACATTACACAGGTTATCACTAGCACATCTTTGAGCATGTAAACACATTTTTCATGATGATTATGAAGGAGCAGCAATATACACATAGTATGAGTCTGCTACAAATACCTGTATCATTTGCTATCCTTATCTCACATGATAACAAGTTCTACTTTATTGTAGGAGGCTAAACATTTGATCTCCCTTTTACATTTTTGAAAAACTGACAGCATAATGCTGATTCAAATGAGGAAACCAAAATTATAGGGAAATGCTTAAGAGTTAACTCATTCCAGTATGAGTTATCATCTATCCTCTTGTTCGACAGAACACACCCTCAACTGCTAAAACACTGTAAATAAGTGATCACTACTTAAGTCTTCAGCCAATGCAGGGGAGCTAAAGTTCAGAGAGCTGAAAAACAGAATGGATTAGAAGACAAGCCTCGGTTAGTTTTCAATGGTCCTACCATCATAATTAATAGAAATTGGCTTTTTTTAAACTTTCTAAAATTCTTTTCCTTTGTTAAATCAAAACATCTTAGCTACAGTAATCCTATTTGTAATATTAGCTATAGTGATCTTGCATGTAAAGTTATGTACTTGATAACACCTACAAATGTAAAACAGGAAAAGTAGCACAGGAAGTATCTATCGGTCCTTAGAAAACTATAACACATTAAAAGAAACAACATGCAGTGACTCCATCTAGTAAGGGGTCAAAATAATCTGCATGCTGACTCACAGAGTATAGATAATAAGCAAACCCGAAATCTTTAGAAGGTAAGGTAAAAATGGACACAAAGATATTGCTCAGGCAATGAATTAGGATTTGTGGATGAGTCTTGGCTCTAGAAGGAAAGGGAGTTTTCCATATAGACAAATACATCTAAAGGAGAGGGAGAGAGAATAGTACTTCACGAGTTTTGATAATCATGAAGCAGAAGGTAATCATTTCATAAGAGTTGATTAAATACTGTTCCAGATAGAGAAAAAAATACATATTATTATAGTAGATATTTGTTTTTCTGGGTCATCCACAGTTTTGAATTCTCTTATATTATGTTGATAAGTTACAAAATTGTAACTCCTGCTTTCTCAACATTAAATTTCCTTTACTGTGTTATCGAGTTATAAGTTGTCTAGGCTCTGAGGTTCAGATTTCAGAACACACAGAAAAAGGGAAAGATGTGTAGATAGAGAAGTAACATTAGAATTGCCATTGGATTAAGAATATACAACTGATGAAACAAAAAGAAAAATGACCAATGTATTTTATGTGTTAAAGACTTCAATTTAGTTTTGAGTCTGACAGAAATTCTAGAATCGACTGTTAGCTAGATCCTCAGGGGGAAAAAAGCAATAATCATAAGAGCCATGCAGGTTCACCTAGATTATTTTATTTTAAATGAATATCATTCATCTTTCTAATAGGGCTAATAGATCAGAGAAATGTGGACAGTGTTGTGTTTCTTGATTTCAGTAAAGCTTTTAACAAGTTTTCTTAGGATAGGCTGTTGAACAGGATCACAGTGTGGCTAATTGGATTTGCTTCATTATTATCTAGAGCACTACATGTTTTCAGACATTATGTTTACAGTCTATTACTGAAAAGCAAAAGTAACAGGAGGTGTTAGCCTCTGGCTTATCTTCAAGGGGCTTTCTCTAGTGGTAAGAAGCACAGCTGTTATATTTCCTAGGTGTATGCTGGTCACTCAGCTTATTAGGGCCCAGAAATCAGTATATTAGACATATAACCAACCAGTCCCTGCACCTGACTGAGTTCTGAAAGCTGCATGGAATTTCTAAGAACAGGGCTGCTGAACAAAGCTATTTGGACCACTTGAAGCTCTTTAAATCTGTTATTAAATCTCCATCAGGCCTCTGATTGCCATAAAGAAATGACATCCTGTGGAGCTGCCAGAGAAGCTGAAAGAAAGCTAATGAAATAATGAACAAACTGAGATGAAGTAAACTAAACCAAAAGATGAAAAGCAGCCACCTCTCCTGCAGGGACCACTATTCAAGGTCCTCTTTGAAAACCCCCCTCAGGAAGTACTCCTGCTATAACCTTGGTACATGCCCATCTTGTTTAACCACCACCAGAGGGATTCCTTTTTGGAGCATCTACCTGGTCATCATCTCTCTGATCTCTGTATCTTTCTCTAGAAAGGAGAGCTGAAATGAAAAGTGACTTTGGTAACTCAAGAGAGTGGAAGTTTCTGAGTCAATGGATGCCAGAAACAATGCTTGAGGAGATAGCCCAATGAAGGATTCAAGTCAGTATTTATCTCAGGACAACCAGTCCAGGTAACTGGATTCAGGTGGCCTACTCTAGGGCTGCTGTCTGCAAACTTTTAGATGCACAGGGGAACTTGCAGGATTAACATGGAAGAGCCAACGAAGATGGGGTTTTGATTGGAGCGTCTCTTCTGCTCCTTTCCAAAAGATCAAAAACCAGAAACCAAAAACTTCCTGCCCTAATAATGGTGAAGTCTAGCCTGGAATCCAGGCATTTGCTTTTGAGAAAAATATCTGTCTTTAGGAGAGCTTTGCACACCGCAACAGAACAAGTTTATATAATAGAGCTATATCAAATGGAGAGCAAAACAACTAGCTTTATGCTTCTAGTACAGACTTCTCATCACTGGATGACGCTGATTTTTTTCTTTAGAAACTGTAACTTAGGATGTTACCATGATTCGTTTTTTAAAGTGTTATGGCTTGTATCTAGATGTCCCCCAAAGCTTCATGCAGTCATGAATGGGGCTTTTCAGAGGTGGCTGAATCTAGGGTGTGTGATGCTGGTATCAAGAATGTGATGCTGGGATTAAGGGTGTAAGTGCTACTTGCCCTAAGGGTGAGTAGCCTGGATAAGATATAAGGGACAGAAAGAGCTGTGTCTCTTGGACCTTGCTGCCTGCTGCCTTGCTGACTTCTGTCTTCTGTGAACTGTTTCTCCTCTGTGATGCTCCTCTGCCATGGCACCCTGCCTGGGGGCCAGCCAATATGAACTGAAACCTCAACAAACTGTGAGCGAAATAAACCTTTCCTTCTCTAACTCTGGACTTTGGAAATTTTGTCTCCAGCAACAAGAAAAGTAACTAAAACAAAAAATTAGCATTTTTTTCCTTGAATGATGACTTTCTCTCCTTCCTACAGTGCTTTTTGTAAGAGGTAAGGAAAAGGTAACATCTTTCTGGCCTCAAGAAAGCCAGACAGACACTCTACTTCCAAACCTAAAACATCCTTGTTTTGGCATTTTTTAGAGCCTAAGGGATGCCAATGCAGTCATAACCACTCACAAGAATTTTTGAGCTGAGCTATTCTTAGCTAGCAGTGGGGTTGTGGGAAAGCTGAATTATGACAACAAAAATATAGTCATAACAGCATCAAATCCTTAAAGGACCATTTCTCCTTCAGTAAGCTATGTTCCAAGGAAAACTGTGGTATCTGTTTTCCTGTGCAGCTATTTAAAGGGCTCCTCAACATGTCACGCTCACACCCCATCAGGTAGCACGTCAGATCCTTCTCTCTCACTTTCTTTATGCTTATGATGTCACTTGTCATTGTGAAATCAGAATAACAAATTCCACCAGATGTAAAACCACCTTCTTAAAAGCTCTGTAAAGCAAGAAGAAAAGCACTGCTGTTTAGGGATTAATTGTTGGTTGAAGGTGCAAATTAGATATGAATATAGACATCTCTAGCACAACTATCTGAAAATATAATTCATCTAGACACAATAAATGAACATGACAATGAAAAAGGCATCTATGCAATTAACACAGGATAGAAATGCACAAAAGATATTACTGTATTTTGTACTTTACACATGTGTGTATGTATCCTTATAAAATTTCCTTAAAAGCTCAGTGTAGTCAATAAATGTTCTAAGGAAGAATCAATTTGTTGAATTTTCCTTAATTTTTTCTTTTCTCTTGTAAAATGTCTTATTTTTTAACTGTCCATGTTAATCATGCCTGTATTTAGCATTTAATCAACTCTATTAATTTCTCCCATTATACTGCAGTTTCCTTGACAGTGAGCGGAACACCTGTGCTTACTTGGATATCCCACTATGGCAATCACAGTAGCATGCAGTGGATGTGCAATCATTTTTTAGCTGAATGGGATTAACCTGAGACCTAAGAAAACCACCAACTTGGCAACTGAGTCCTGACTAGCCAGGGGTTAATGCTCTAAGGGGAAATGGAAATAATAAAAAATGAAATTCTAAGATTCTCAAATGCATTTAAGTGCTCTTATGAAAAATAACAACCAAACATGCTAATTCTCAAGTTGCTGATGTTATATACTAAAGCTAACTTTACATGTCACAATGGTAAGTAATTTTTAGAAATGTATTGTTTTCAAACTACAATATTAGCACCAGAAAGGATTAGTTAGAATCCAGAACCTTTAAGAGAAGGTTGGTGGGGAACTTTTATGATAACTAAGAAGCAGTTATGATATAATTGAAAGAATAAATATTAGACTTAGAGTCAGAAGACAAATTTTCAGTACAGACTTTGTTACTGATTTGATGACCTTGGCCAAATCTCTACCTTATCATTAGTTTTCCTATCTATAAAAATGGTATAAGTATGTTTATCTTTCAAGATGCTTATAAGAATTACATGAAAAAAGTAACACTAATGTTCACAGTTGGACATTATAATCCTGTAATTGATGGCTAAACTTTTCCTTTGATTGCTTCCATCCTCAGAATGCAACAAAAGACAGATTCTACCTTGTTGGAGAGACACTAGATTGATAGCCACACTCACAGGTACACAATGCATGGCAAGAGGGAGGGAGGAGGATTGGAGTGCAAAAGAAAAGAAGCACAGGGCTTGGTGTCAACAAGTTTAGGAGAAATCACAGAGAAAGAATTTCTGGATCATTGGCAGAGAGTGATGGAAAGAGATACCAAAGAGGATTTTTATAAAGTATTACCAAGGACTGTGCATTTCAATCATTTTCACAATTTTTTAAGAAAACCAAATAAAAAGATTTAGCAATTTTGAAATCATTTTTGATGATTGTATTTTGTTTCTTTTACCACAATATAACACATAAATTCTGAGTATGAGGGGTTTTTTTTGAGGGCATACAAAAAATCAAATAAGATCATGCACATGAAAGTGTTTTAAAGCTGAATAGAGAGGACCTCATTGTTCACGCTGACTTGGGTTCTGCTCCCTGTAGGAATGAGTTCACTCAGTCCAACTGTTCTATAGAAGATTGTTTTCTTTGTCATAGAAAATTTAAAATGATTTTAATAGTTATTAGAAGTATCTAAGTTGACTGCATGTTTCCTGCTTTGTCTTTGTTATTATAATATATAACACCCAAAGACAAACAGATTATGCATTCTTTAGGCAATGATTAATTTTATTAATTGGTATTTTAGGAGCAACAGTATGCCAGGAGCCATGGCACTGGAAAAAAATATTCTTATGTTAAACAAATTATCATTATTACAGAACCAATAGAAACCAATAAAAAAGTTCCACTGTATGGAGCTTTCAGCAGAGAGGCAAACCAATGAGAGCTGAGTAGTCCAAGGGAGGAGACAAAAACCTCAGCCAGGTCTTGAAATATGACAGCATCTAAATTGTTGTAAAGAAGGAAGGTCAAATAGCAAGGGCCCTACAGACCAAGCTACAGAGATATAGGAAGCAGGAGCTCTCCTAATGTAAGAAAAAATTAGTTCATTTTTAAAACTTATTTTATTTTTTATGTTTTAAATTAGTTTCATGTAACATATTGGGAATAAAGCTGAGGAGTAAACTTCAAATTAAAATTAAAAAATTAAAATTTGGCAGAGAAAATTAGATATTACAGAGTAAGAATTAAAAAGTTATTAAATATTTTGAAAGGAAAGATGTAAGTGTAGGGTTAGCCACAGCTGGGGAACCAAAGACAGCATGGTCAAATAATGAGTCCTTGTAGTCATCCCCTAGTGGCATCCCAGTGGGGTATGGTGCCAGGGAAAAATCAAGAGCTTCCTTCTCTGGACCTCACAGGTAGAGTAAATGTTGAGTGAAAACATGACTATTTATAAACATTCATAATTATCCTGTGACCTTTTACACCTAACATGTGACTTGCAAATTTATATATGACTAACATATGTAAGTGACTTATATATGACAAGTGTAACACAACATATGACTTACACTTGACAGACTGTCCCACAAATCATCATTTTTAGTATTTCTATAGCCGACCTTCTTGAGCTAGTGAACTGTTCCTTTCTGGAATTTCTCCTCACGGAGAAAATCCTTGAGCATATTCAAATACAAACTCCCTGAAAGAAAAATAAAGAGAAAAGATAAAAGAAAAGGTAATATGATATATATTTAAAGAAAGCTTAAATCTATGGAACATGGATGATGTCTGAAAATGAATAGGGAATAAAAAGTGAAACAGGTAACAGTAACTTACCAATAATGACTCAAATTGTTGATTTTTTTCAGGTGTATTTATTTCTTCTGGATACAGAGCTTGGAAGCTGCACATGACATTTACTACCTTTTTATAGGATACTGCATCAAACATTGCCTGTATTTCAGTAGGAGTTTCTGCTGGTTTAAAAATGGAGTGGGATGAATTCAGTGAATTTCTTGTGATTGCTTCAAAACATACATCCAAAAACTGGTCATCCTAAGTAGAGAAGAAAAAAATTTTTAACTTCTATTTGACACTCTAAAAGCAATAGAAAGCATTCTAGGTTTAGTAAGATGTCCTTACAGGTAAAAAAAAAAAAAATTAATCAATATTTCTTGCAAGATGTTTCTCTTTATATTCCCCCATCACCAATTCTCTGCTATAAGAAGACAGAAATCCAACATTCTCTCAGACATGCACTAATGTTTACCATATGCCAAGTCCTTGAATACCAAAATTAAAATAAAGGCTTCTATTTAGTAAACATTTGCTGTGTGCTAGGTCCTGCTATTCACAAACTTTCCAAGACCCCTGTGAGGGATATGCATTATACGCATTTTGTAAATGAAAATATATGAAGCTTTAGAGTTAAACTATAGCTTCAGCACATAGGAAGTAACACTGACTTTGAATCTATGTCTGTGTATGTACTGGACTAAAGGTATACCCAACATATCTAATGACCATAGTTAACCACCTCAATATGTAGATTTAAGAAGTGATCAGACATACTTGAAAAAATCCTTTAATATATTTTGGGAAAGCCAACTAGCTATTTGGAAATTTTAGAGGAGCATGCTCCCTGGACCTTAGGCACCACCAAGTGTGGAGTATAGGACAGTGATTATTCCCTCTTGCCTCACATATGCAGTTGCATATTGTACTAGTTTGCTCTCTGCACAGAAACTTTCAGGTGAGCGATTTACACTGATGGTTTTCTAAGCCTAAACATCTCATCCAATTCTGGGATCTGTTTCATATATCAAAACAGCACATGTTCATAAATGCACAAAATTTTCTCTTTAACATTCACTCAATATTTTAATCATAAGCCAAATATCCTTCTATCATTCCATTGCAACCAGGTTGCCAAACCTCTGGGAGACAAATCTCAATATTACTAGAAGTTAAACAAAATTGTAGAAATTTTATTAACTGTAGAAAAAAATATCAGGTTGCTAACTTTTTGAAAATGATTATTAGCCCCTTTCCTCCATCTTAGCTACCCTCTTTTCTCTGTATTCTTTCCTTCTACTGGTTTCCTTGTCTTTTTGATCTCACCAGCACATTTTTGCATGTCACTCTTCTCCTTCTTTTGTACCTTATTGCTTCTAACACTCCACTTCTTCTCTCCACCCAAAATCTTCTAGGTATTAGATTTGATATTAAGAAAGAAAATGAAACATATTGCAGGGGTTGTTTTTCTTCTTGGACAATAAGCATAATCTCACCCTGTCCTTAATTTTTGATGATCTGGGTCAGGGATTTAGCTCGGTGGTTTCGTTGCCTGCTGTGCAAGCACAAGGACTGGAGTTCGATCCCTGGTATAAAAAAAAAAAAATTTTTGATGATCTAAGGAGAAAAACAAGTCCCAGTGCTCTTGGTGACGTCAACTTTTATATTAAGTATTAGGTACGTCAACTTTTTATATGAGGTATTAGGTACTTAAGAGAACCCTAAAAATTCATTTAGGTCTCTCAGATTGTTATATAAAATTACTGACCAGCAAATTTGGTAACTAACCTCTGAAACTGACTTACTTCTAGAGTTTAACTTGGCCAACACAAAGAATAAAATTCTAAGATTTAAATGTGTATAAATAAAACAAAAAATTAATAAAGATAATATAAATAGTGGTTTACTTGACCTATATTTAAATTACATTACGCATTTTAAATATTACTATTCTTTCACCCACTTTTTAATTTTATTTATTTATTTAGCTATAAGTACAATATTGTGCATCTAATATATACGTACTTTAGGACTGAAATGTCCAGAACAATGAGAAACTTAAACAATAAGATTCTAAGATTTGGAAATGCCATGTGATATTTACAGATAAAAAGGTCTAGGTCTGCAGCTTCTAGACACATACAACACTCAGATAATTTTGTTAGTAGCCATCAATCTTCCTAAGGGATTCTGTGGGAAGGACAGGAAGTGTTTTTTCAGTTTGAGAACTGATGAATATGAGAGGCATAGACTGAACTGATTCACCATTGAATATAGTTTATTCACTCATTCATGTTGTATTTAGAACCTTCTGTGTTCCTGATATCATGCCATATGTTAGAAATACAAAGATGTATGCAAAATAGCCACTGCCTCAATACAGATGATGGAAGTCAGCCAGTAGACAAGTAAATGTAGCAATGAACTATCATTTAATGTGCTAAGATCAATGTCTCTGCCAGATGCAGAGGATTCTAGGAGGAAATAACCAGTTCTTTTGGAAGAGTGTGTAGGTCAGTTAGAAAACAATTTATATCCTGAGACTTCAAGTGGTCCTTAGGTATGCAAATGCAGCAAGTAGCAGAAGCAAAGGCATATTGGGGTGTTCAGGAAATGGCAGGCAGCCTAGGATAGCTAAGGCTTATAAGAGGTGAAGCTGAAGAAATGGCAAGGAGCTGAGTCATAAAGTCCTTGTATCCCATGCTTGGGACCCAGCTGACTGGGGAATCCTTGCAAGGATTGTACACAAAGGAGTAAAATGGATATATGAACATCAATGGAAGACAATAGAGTCAAGGCAAAAATTCCAATGCTGCCTGCTGGTCCAGCCCTAGATGCTGCATCTCCATAAAAGGGAAGCTGTTAAAGGAAGTCCCGCAGGGAGCCTCAGAGCTGAGCTCTCAGACCATTTCCCTAAAAACCCAGAACAGAAAGATTAGAAGTCCCCAGACTCACTTAAGTACTTTAGAACTCCCAGTGACTAATCATTGAAACACCTAAGATGGGCCAGTGGGGAGATTCTGAACCAGAGGAAGAGTTCCTATGTTCTCAAAATATAGTGCTGAGCATGGATGCCTATGTAATTAAGTACTCAGTTCATTGCTAAAACAACAACAGCACCTTATTATAGTGATGATCAATGATAAAGTTTTAAAAAATTTAAACAGGAGATTTTGCTAACTTCTACAATGAAAAAATATTTGTATGTATGTATTTTATAAAATATGGCAAAAGAGAATTTCCAGTGCTGTTAATAATTTACTATATTACTTAGAGTTTTCAGAAATGAAGCAGAGTGGAAATAATATCTGGGTTTTGTTTTTGATGTTGTTGTTTGCTATTGCAGCCCTGGAGATGGAATCCAGGATCAGCAAGTGGCCTACTGCTGAGCTATTCTCTGAGCCCTATAGACTCAGTTATACAGTTTCATTTGTGAGTGTAATATAGCATTGATATATGGCTCTTGGATCCCTTGTTATTCAAGAAATGAAGCAATAATAGTAATGGACATTATTAATAGCTACCACTTATATCATGAATATCTTACAAGGTGATAGGCACAGAAACTATCTTTTTCTATAATCTTCACAACAGTCTTATGAAGCAGGAAGTATTACTAACTGCTTCTTATAGATGAAGACACTGAACTTCAGAGAACTCAATGGAGTGGCCAGGGTCATCAGCTCATGAGTAATTACTTGAAATACTTCGTTAGAGCTACTCAATCACAGGATCTAACCAAAGGGATATTAACCTTGTTCTTGATTGCAATGCCAGGGCACTAGGAAGGTATAAGCAGAAATATTTTAACAGACATCTTTATTTATAAAGTTTCCAATTCTGGGCTCTATTCATGTGCATAGTTCTCATTCTTCTTTTCCAAAAGACATTTGAAAATACTGCTTCAAAGAATTTTTGAAGACAAATTTGGCAGCCATTTCTCTTGCAATAAAACTCCAGTATGAGTCCTATAGTTTAGAAACTGAGTTAACTGTTACTTGACATATTGTGTTGGGTCTGATAATCCCCAAATTTCTCATTAGAGGTAAAATGTTGTGATTTTATTTTATTTCAGGAATATGAGCGATATTCTGTATAATGATCTTTTAGGCTGTTAAAAGAGAATATAATGAGTACCAACTCCCTGGTGTGCTAGTTCATGGGCTATAATTTTGGTGACCCACAACTTAGCAGAAGAAGAAGAGGTCTTGGAATCAAATAGTAATGATGTCTCTCTATATGTAATAAGGCCCCAATTTTCCATGGCTCCAAACTCAAAGTCAGGAATAGAACCTAGATCTAAGAAATAAAAACAACCACACTTAATCATTATCGCTTCCATACCAGGATTTCTCCTTGCCCTAATACATTATGATATTTTCAGTATGCATAAGCAAACTTTCTGAACAAACACTAAAACATTTAACATTGACATGGTGATTACAGTTGCACTGAAAACACTACCCATTATCAAGTAGAAAAAAAAATTCTATCAATATATTTTTGTAGTTGAAATAATCTAATATACTTAACCAGTTTTTTCCTTGAAAGTGCTGAATTCTGAAAACATTTTGAGGGATTTAAGGCCAAGAAAATAACTTATTTTAAAATACTCATTAAAAATTAATAAAAAATAAAAACTTTAAAAATTACAAGTATCAAGTAATCTCTAATATGTTTGAAATTCATCAAAATATAAATTAATTTCTTGAAAAAATAGAGACATTAATTTTAGAACACTTTTTAGAAGCAATCTCTGTAGCCAATATTTCAATTGATATTCCAAGCTCATATAGCCTCTATTATGAGCAAGAGTCCTTCTAAGGAAGTATAAGAAAAAAGCTCTGGGCATTGATTATTTCTGACCTCAATTTTCTTTTTAATGTAGATATTTCCTCTACCTCTTAAGAAAGTCTGGGGATAAAAAGTGAAATCTAACCCTTAAGCAACTCAGGCATAATATACATTAATTCATATTATATGTGCTTGTGTGTATGTATATGTATATGTACATCTTTTGCCAATGACTTCATATAGGTTAGAAAATTTCTGGCTAATATTTAATCTTAGAAATCTGCTAGCTCTTGAAGAAATAATACTTGACTAAAAAGGAAGATTTTTTTTAAAGTTTGAGATGAACCAAGTCATGTGGCTTATAATTACATTATCCAGAATTAATTCTGGTTAATTCTAGTGTATAAAAACAAGTATTTATAACACAATCAAAAACTAAATTACCACTAATAAAGATAAATATTCATTAACA